GGTTACTTTTCGCTTCGTGGCCAGCGTGTGATAAGGTCCTTAGTCTAAGTGGAAATTCCTCTAGTCTAGTGCTTGCCCATGTGTCTGGGTTGGTGGGGGCTGAAAGGTTAGGATCAGAGCCTGGCTTTCTCCTTGGAGCCTAAGTGGCAATGCATCCCGACTGGGTGACCAGATATCCTAACCACAAAGGAGGACAAAATGTAGCATATTTAAGAAAAATGGAGGACATGACCAAATAAAAACTAAAAACACTCCTATAAATATAAATCCATGCTTCTTAGTCATGCTCAAAATGGAAGACATTTTGGAATTCCTCCTCGACAGAAGGCTGGAATGGAGGGCATGTCTTGGAAAAGGAGGACGCCTGGTCATCACTCTGGCCGCGTAACGTCTGTATGCCATCGGATAAAATCCCTTCTTCCTCCGTTTGCATGATTAGGAAGGGCAAAAAATGCAGGCGAGAGAAACCAGGTCGCCTTGGCTGCTTTTCCCGAAAATGACCAGCAGGGGGCAGCAAATGCCTGGCCTGAAAGGAACTATACTGGGATGGAAGATTGCGCTTTTGTGCAGCTTTGCCTGTCTCTCTGCGCATGCGCCCTACTGTAACTGTACTGTGTTTGGAGAGATGTAGATCCAGGGTGTTGTGTTGCTTTGAGCACTGGGCTATGACTCTGGAGACCAGGGTCCGGATCCCTGCCCAGCCATGAAAACCCAATGGGTGACCCTGGGCAAGTCATACTCTCTCAGCCTCAAAGGATGACAAAGGCAAACCCCCTCTGAAGAAACCTACAAGAAAACCCTGTGATAGCCCTTAGGGTTCTTGAAAGCAAAATAATGCAAGCCCAGGATTTTAGGAATACGTGGAATTGGACGTTATCACACGGGGTCTAAAGCAGACAGAACCCCGTCCCATCCCCGTCCCATTGCGGTTCCTTTTCCCGTGTGTTCACACGACGTCGCAGAGAACCCCGTCCCATCCCCGTCCCAATGCGGCATCATCCCCGTTCTTTTGAATGCCGGTTTCCTGGGGAATTACATTTGCGCGACCGGAATGATACCGGAATGATGCTGCTTTCGTTCATTGCGCAATGATGCTAGTTGCGACTGATAGCAATTTCCGTCTTGTGGAGTCTATACCGGTATAGTTCTGGATTGATTCCATACCGCTTTCTTGCCGCTTTGAGACCCGCGTGTGATAACGTCCATTGTCTCCCTCCCCCCCTTTTTTTAAGGTGATGAGCCCTGCTAAATTAGAAATGCAAAAAGACAAAATGATAGGAAAAGTGGCAGGTTTGCAGGTTTGAGTTATTATTGCTTTGGTTGGGTGCACTCCTGTGAAAAATAGAAAAACCGAGAAAGCTATTCATTTGAAAAGCCTCCTTTCCAAAAAGCCAAGGTGGAGAATTTTGGCAGGGGTGGAGGTTCATTTGCTACCCCTGTGATGGACTAGCAAAAGTGCCAACACAGTGCCCCAAACACAATAGCAGAAGTGACCAGCAGTCAGCTTCTGGTGTTGAAAAATTGGTATTTTTAAAACCAAAATATTAAGACGGTGCAGCTCTTGGAGCCTTCTTGAGAGGCAATTCACCCCTTTTTGTGGCATTGCAGGGTCTGACCTTTCCCCACCCCTGTGTTGAAGGTACAGGAGCCCTGTCCCATTAAGAATGAAGGAAGTTGTCTTCTACCACCGACTTACAGACTTTCTCCGTAGCTCACTATCTTGTTAACTTGTGAGTTGTTCAGGAACCACCAGAGACAAAAAAATAAAACAAATGAGTACGGCTCCGGTGCCATTGACATAACAGGTGGCACTACTGAAGCTCCTTCTTCTACAAGCTTTTTTTTTTTTTTAAAAAAAGCTGATGATCACCAACAAATTCCATGTGCTGTAGGCTATATTTCAGAAGAAGGAACTTGCAAAACAACCTCTGAGTCAGTGGCGTCCCTAGCATTGGGGTCATCTGGTGTGAGTGCCTGGAAGGGGATTGTGGGGATGGGGGTGGCCTACCCTGCTCCCTCTCCCCTCCTGTTTCTTGCTCACCTGCTCTCCCCTCATAGAATCATAGAATTGGAAGACACCACAAGGGCCATCCAGTCCAACCCCCTGCCATGCAGGAACTCAAAATCAAAACATCCCCGACAGATGGCCATCCAGCCTGTGTTTAAAGACCTCCAAAAAAGGAGACTCTGCCACACTCTGAGGGAGTGTATTCCACTATCGAACAGCCCTTACTGTCAGGAAGTTCCTCCTAATGTTGAGGTGGAATCTCTTTTCCTGGAGAGATTCCCTACCCACCTGCCCACCACTGCCCAGATGCCCACCCAGGGCTGTCAGGGTGCATCCAGGTAGATGGGCAAGTGAGGCAGCAGGATGGGATGGAAGAGGCATGCGCTGCCCTTCCTTCTCCGGTGCCATGGCTCACTCAGACGAGAGAAGGTGGGGGGCACTTGCATGCTCACTCCTCCTTCTCCAGTGCCATGGTTTCCTTGCCTGAGGCACCAGAGAAGGCTGGAGGAGTGGGAGGAGGGCCTGACCGGGTGTCAACCCTCCTCTGAGGTGTCACCTGGTACACGATGCACCCACCTGGTAGGGGAGACACCATGATCACAAAGGTGGTTTTCCCAGGGTGAGGCTCATCCATTGCACTCTGGCTGTGCTGATGCCTACGATTTCCCCAAGTGTCGGAAGCTCAACTACATAATTTGTAGTCTGAGTATTCCTTGCCTAAGAAAACCCTATGAAATTCATGGGGTCACCATAAGTCAAGAGTCAACCTGAAAGCATTCACACACACAAGTTGTGAGGTGAGGCCACCCTAGGCTGTTTTGAAATATTTTGCTACCTGATGCAAAGGCCAAAATGACACCCTTTCCCATCTATTCCATGTACAGCAGCAGTTAACTGGACTGGAATGGTAGTGGGAACTTGCTTCAGCACTGGCAAACAGGATACCATCCTCCACCACCCATAAAGGAGGGCAGCAGCCTTACTTAGGAGATACAGCAGGACAGGCAGTGTGGTGCATATGCAGCTTTCTCCTCCAACAGAAGGCAGTGGCTGGGGAATGGGGGGGGGGGGGGGGGGGGAAGAGGTCAAAGAGCTGTCACTGTTCCTCCAAGGCATCTATCACATGAAAGAGTATTCTCACTTTGGCCAATAGTAGGGTTGACCCTGAGGCCAGCAAGATTTGACTTCTTACAACTGAAATAAAGATTTTGACAAGAAAACCTTGTGAATTTGCCCCCCAAATTATCATGTGCCAATTTTGTTGGTTATTTTTTGAGGGTTTTTTTTTTTTTTGGCTAAAATCTATTAGAAATCCATCAAATATTTGTTCTCTGCAAGGCATTCCTTCAGAAAATATGTATGTATCATATGTATGTACGGTATATATAAATCTTTAGAGGACAATTGTATGTACATAATGTGGCATAGTGGTTAGAGTGTTAGACTATGACTCTGGAGACCAGGGTTCGATTCCCAGCTCAGCTATAAAACGCACTGGTTGACCTTGGGCAACTCACATGCTCTCAGGCTCAGGGGGAGGTCTCTCTGAGCCAGGGGTAGGCAAACTTTCCCCTTTAAGGGCTAAGGGACTGGCTGAGGCTTCTGGGAGCTGAAGTCCCTCGGCCCTTAAAGGGGAAAGGTTGCCTACCCCTGCTCTGAGCAAAGCCCCTCTGAACCCCATCATGGGTTCGCCTTAGGGTCGCCATAAGTCAGAAACGACTTGAAGGCATACAACAACAATATATGCACTTGGGTACATATGCATTTTTGCTAACAGCTTCTGCATAAGCTTGAGAATGTATAAATCCTGAACACATGAAACCTTGTGCTTGCCATGCACACTTGGCCCACCTCTTTTGTATGTGAATGAATGTGTGCATGCATGCAACCCTGACTCCCCAAGGTTTTGCGGTGTTTTGCGGTGTTTTGCGGTGTCCCCACCCCTCGGGTCAATTTCTTTTGGAATGTCTTCCCTATAAAGTTAGTTCTTTGCAGCTCACTTTGAAGTAACTTTCATCTTTCACAACTCAGGAGATCTAGTCATGGGACAGAAATGTGGCCATGTGATGTTGATGATCAATTGCTCTATTCACCTCTTACATGAGAAACCCCACGGCACTGAGATGAGCAATTTTCCTCGTTGAGTCAAGGGGAGAAAGGATACCTCCGGTCACCAGGGCGGTGCAGTGGATGTGACCGCAGGCACGGGTGTGTGACTCTGAGTTCTCTCTGCTGGGACATGCCAAAAGAGGGGATAGCTCTGGGCTAGAGCCTTGTTCTCCGTCTCTGATGAATGACAAGGCACTTGCTATTGAAGGAGCAGGGACACCTGGTAGCAGCCACCTCAGATGCCTAGGAGGAACAGCCTGACTCTTGGTTTGACTGCTAGTGCTTTGACCAGGGAAAGAATGCAGAATACCACAGACTCTCCCCACCTGTTGAACACCCTCCCAGCTCTCTGGCTCCAGGTGACTCTGTGAACGCCACTACTCCAGCACCTGGAGAGTCAAGCTTTCAAGGTACAGCTTTCAAAGAGTACAGGAAGATGGTGCTTATGTTCTCTGCAAGAGGATGGATAGTGAGGAGACCAGATTAGTGGCTGGAGTAGGTGGCTGCACAAGAGAGGGGGCTGCTCATTGTTAGTTCTTTTTTAAAAAAATATTTAAGGTATTATGCGCAGTAAAAATTACATTTTAAGGATCTCATTTGTTTTTCTTATATTTATTTGTAATCTGCTTCGTTCCCTGCCCCTCAAAAATTGGGACTCAAAGCGGCTCACAATTTAAAAGAACAATACAATAGAAAAGTGACATTAACACAGAATTATATAAATTAAAATATTAAAACAATTCAACCTAAAGAGAAGAATAAAATGTAATTAAAATATTAAAAGCTCTTACAAACAGTTCAGTTAAAACAATGCAGCACACCCTAGCCAATTCTTTTAAAACTTTCTGTTTTAAAAGCATGTTGGAATAAAAAGCTTGTCAGTGGAGGAAGGGCAGGAAAGGGGGCCATTCTAGTCTCCCTAAGAAGGGAGCTCCAGAGTCTAGGAGTAGCCACTGAGAAGGCCCTCTCTCACGTCCCCACCATCTGTGCTTGTGATGGTGGTGGGACTGAAGGAAGGGTCTCTCCTGATGATCTCAGAGTCCAGGTCAGCTCATATACAATGTGCCAGATAGCTTAGAGCTGGGCCATATAGGGCTTTATAGGTCATAACCAACACCTTGAATTGTGCCTAGAAACAAACTGGCAACCAGTGGAGCTGTTTCAACAGGGGTGTTATGTGGTCTCTATAACCCACAGCAGTTAACAGTGTGGCTGCAGCTCTTTGGACCAGATTAAATTTCCAAACACTCTTCGAAGGCATCCCAAGTACAGCATGTTGCAGTAGTCCAAAAGAGATGTCACTAAGGTATGCCCCACTATGGCTAGATCTGATGTCTCAAGGAACTGACGCAGTTGGTGCACAATGTGCAAAAGCACTCCTGGTCACTGCAAAACCTGGCCCTCTAGATTCAAAGCTGAATTCAGGAGTATACCCAAACTGCAAGCTTATGTTTTCAGGGGGAATGTAATCTAATCTTTCCATCTAATACAGGCTGAATCCCTAGTGCCTGATGTGTCTTCCAATTGACCAAGAACACCTCTGTCTTGTCTGGATTAAGTTTCAATTTATTTGTCTTCATCCATTCCATTATTGATGCCAGACACTGGTTTAGGACAGGACAGCCTCCTTGGATTTGAGTGGAAGGGAATAATAGAGTTGGGTGTTATCCGCATACTGATACACCCAAAATTTGGGACAGCCTCTTCCAGCAGTTTCATGTATATGTCAAATAGCATGGGGGACAAAACAGATGCCTGAGGGACTCCACAGAGTAATGGCCAGGGGATTGAACAGGAATCCCTCAGCACCATCTTCTGGGTTTGCCTCTCTAGGAAGGAATGGAGCCAGTGTAAAACAATACCTTCAACTCCCATCCCAGTGAGGTGGTCCAGAAAGTTGCCAAGGCTGACTATTGAAAGCTGCTGAGAGGTCCAGCAGAATCAACAGGGACACACTCCCTCTGTCCAGTTCCCTGCTTAGGTCATCCAGCAAGGTGACCAAAACTGTATCTTTCCCATAGCCAGGCCAGTGGGAGGCCACCACATTCTCCAATACCTTGTCCCAAAATGGTAGGTTATATATTGACATCTTCTAACATTAGAGCAACAAGGCATAAGGAGATTCAAAAAGAGAAATCATTACTCATAAATGTTAGCAAAAGCAGACCAAATATCTTAATATAAGCCCATAAGTAAATTGCGTCAATACATCACATTTTCAAATATTGCAAGCATTGTTAAATCTTCTGTCCACTGAATCACAGATGGGGATGTGTTAGCTTTCCAATACTAGAGCGTCAGTGTTTTAGCAGTCATTGTTTGTGACCTCTGAGGGGGTTTGGATCTTTTTTCTTCCAGGCTGTGGAAACTTTTTGCTTTGGGGGGAGGCTGCAACTCCCAGAATCCCCAAGCCAGTACCAACAGAGCTTCTCTTTGTTCACGTCAGGTGTGGTCCTTTTTGTTTTTCCTGATTGCAAAAACAGAGCTTGGAAAGATTTACATTTTTGGACTGCAACTGTCAGAATCCCTCAGTCAGCATGGCCAGATTCTGGGGGTTCCAGTCCAAAAAAGAACAATTTCCCAAGCTTTATGGAAAGAACGTTTGGTTATGGCAGGCCAAAGCCAGAGATGGCTCAGGGGCAAAATATGTGCTTTGCATGGAAAAGACTACATGTTCAGTGCCTGACAGCTTCACTGGAAGGGTTTTAGGATGGAACAGTGACAGCTGGCGGCTTCCATGTCAGTAGGGCTGTGAATCCACTCTGGATTTTAGACTGAACTTTAAAGGAGCTATCATGGGTTCTGACCCCTAACCTGAAAATAGCTTCATGTATGGGGACAAAGGAGCTTCACATACTCTAGTGAGGATTTCATCTTTCCTCTAGGACAGGGGCAGGGAACCTTTGGCTTTTCATATGTTTTGGCCTACAGCTCACCCTTCACAGCCAAAGGTAAGGGACTGTGGCAGCTGTCATTTAAAATATGGGGACAGCCAAAAGATCCCCCTCCCACCTGCCCCAAGACTAAGGCAATTTGGGTGGGCAGTTCGTTTTCCTCTAGATAGAGGGTGGGAAAAGTGGAGCCTCCTACTTATTGTTGGAAGTCCAGTTCCCATCTTCCTTACCATTGGCTATGCTGGCTATAGCTGATGGGAACTGAAACCCAATAACAAGTTCACCACCCCTTCTGTAGATCTTTGTATAGCTGCTAGCAGAAAATGTTGCATTAATAAGCACTGAAATCTAGAAGGTGGTTGGGAGGCTCCTTAAATTAGCGTTGGTGGTGAGTGGCTGCTAGCTAGGAGACAGACAGAAATCGCATGCTTTGATAGGGGCTGGAAATAAACCCTTGGAATCCAGCAGCTGCTTGCTTGTTTTGCTGCTGTTCATAATGTATATTGGGGAAGGGGCATAACTAGGGGGTACAGGGGGCTTCAAACTACACCAGGTGACACCCTAAGGTGGATAACACCACTGCTCCCCAAATATCTGCCTTTCGGGTTGCATGAACCCCTTTAAAATGCTGAAGAGGTGGTGTGAGTGGGGCAAGCCTCAGTGGGAAGAGAAAGGAGAGGCCCCACATTATATATATATAATATAAATTACTTATATATATATAAATTACATTTAAAAAAAATAAAATGTTAATTTTTAATTTTTAAAAATTCTTTAAAATTTTTGTTTTAAAAAAAACACATCTTACCAAATTTTAACCACTAGAAACAATGTACATGTAAATACATTTAGGCTGTGCATATGATACTGTAATTTAAAGGTATAATTTAAATGTGCTAGTTGTTTATGTCACAACCCTTGCCATTACATTGAGTATGTAGAGAGATCTTGTAGCACCTTTGAAACTAACTGAAATAAAG